GCTTGAGCCACGGGTGCCGAGCCACGATGTATTTTTATTATAATGCATGTTGTACACATATGTTAGATACCAGTTCGTAACAAAGACCCCTGATCCTCCCTTTTTTGTACTGTAGTGATAGCAGTCCGTATTCCTCATTTGGAGCAACTCTGGCAAGGGATGATGAAAAGAATTTATGGAGTATGCCGCATGATGTGTCCCACACCGAAGCAGATGACGACAGAATCCTGTACAATTTGATAGTCGTTCGTAATCAGCAAGCCAAAGACTCTGAGGTAAGCCCCCTTTGACGCCTTGCTGTGTGCAGGTAGTGACGTATAGTGATAAACAGCCATTTTGGAGACAGAACCCCAGCTTGCAATAACGAAAAGATGAAGGCTGAGATGTTTAAAGTGAAGGGCAGATATTTTAGCAGCATCAGTTATCATCTGTTATCTGTAGTCACTAATGTGCTTAATATACAGATAAGACTCATTTCTTACTATTACTTTAATGATACAAATTACACGAGAGGCAATGCTGTTGAAGAATGTGAAGAAAATTTATCATCTTCAGTGGCGTAAGCAGTCTACCTCTTACCGTCCAGTTGTTCAGCAAGCTGCAGTTAGGTGATTCAGACTGAAGGTTGCAGGGAGCTTTGTGTTTGTGCGAATTCGGAATTATCGAGGCCTGAGCTAGTTTTTTTTTTTTTTTTCCTGTTTGAGGCTTCTCAGATTATGATGTTGACCAGATAGCAGTGGAGATAATTTTTGATTTTAATTATGTGAGATAATTTTTGTCATAAGCTTTGAACCTTCATAACAACTCTCAATCCAAAGGTATCGGGATGAGAGCACTGGAATATAAGAAGGAAGAGAACTTGATAAGTTAAGAAAAAACAGCAAAGAGGATCGTGTTTGTTTCTTTCCTTCAGAAGCAGTATTAGAGTACTCTGTAGAACACAAGATCATTTTCCACATCATGCCACCTCGCCTTTCCGACCTCTGAGTTTATCAGCTCTGAGTAGATGCCCGGATGAGATGCACACTGCTTCTTTCTGTGTACCTAACAGTAACGGAGAGGAGTAGGGAGACAGAACCCCAGGCTCTGGCTCTGGAAAAAGCACCAGTGCATGTAGTGGGGAGGGGGGCCTAAACGCCCCCTCTATTCCCTGAATTTTTTTTTTTTTTTTTTTTTGCAGTTTTTGGCTGGGGCCAGGCTTGAACCCACCACTTCCGGTATTAGGGGCCAGCGCCCTACTCCTTGGAGCCACAGGCATTGCCCCTAATTTTCTTTTTCTTTTAAGACAGTTTCACTATGTCGCCCTTATTAGAGTGCTGTGGTGTCACAGCTCACAGCAACCTCTAACTCTTGGGCTTAAGTGATTCTCTTGTGTCAGCCTCCCAAGTTTCTGAGACTAGAGATGTCCGCCACAATGCTTGGCTATTTTTTTAGAAATGGGGGTCTCGAACTACTGAGCCTAGGCAGTCCACGCACCTCAGCTGCCCACAGTGCTGGGATCACAGGCTGATTTCTGTCACCCCCCCACAAAACATACTTTAGCAGGAGGTGATATAGGTTTTTCTGCTCCTTGCCTGGGAAATAAATCAAGCTTGACTGTGGGGGTTACCAAGGCAGGCAATAACTTTCAGAAGTGCCCTGTGGTCCTGGTCCGTTTTTTCTGGTGTGACTTGGATGCCTTGGAGGGGACAGAGGTAGGACATCTCAGAGTGGGGGAAGGGCTGATGCTGCCTGAGGCCCAGGGCAGGGCCAGCTGGAGAGTCCTGTGTGGCTGTTGATGAGTCGCATCCTCTGATGACCAAGCCTGCTGCCGCCAAGAATAGCGCTCCCTGGCTGTCCTTCCTGAGCATATGGAATGTGTGGCTTTGTTTTTCCTTTAATGGGAAGAGCAACTATATTATGCTGACAAATTAGCATTCCTGCTGATGTAAAAAGAGCCAGGTTTTTTCTTTTCTTCCTCTTCATCCCCATCCTGCCTAAAGCAGTAACAGCAGTAGGGGAGTAATGTATAGCCCCTTTCCTCCTCTCTGTCTCTCTCTATTTCTCTCTCTCTGACGTGAGGGCCTTTTGGAGCTGAGCCCGGGAGTGCTCTCTGGAGGAGTGCCTGCCTTTCTGCCCTGATTCTCTCAACTTTTCAAAAGAGAGCAGAGGAGGCAACGTGAGCTACAAAGCTCTCAATAGCACGGCTTCCAGAGTGGCCCATTGTGTCTTTTCTGGGCCAGCAGAAGGCTTTTCCTGCTCCTTGCCTGGGAAATAAGTCAAGCTTGACTGTGGGGGTTACCAAGGCAGGCAATGAAATAAACAACATGAGGACGTGATGATAATTATTACGAAATGGTTTGAAATATCTCTCACAGTGCTTCCTTTTTTTTAAGTATAAAAGTAAAATGGCTAAAAAGTTGTTTATATCTACTTCTAAAGTTTTGAAATGAACACATACATTAATGTATCTATTCATTTTCCACACAGATTGGATCATATGTTACACACCTAGCTGTCGGCCATATTTCCATTTCAGTGTGGTTAGCGTTGCCTTATTGCTTTCGAGATCTCTCTAGTGTTTTCTTGCATAGACTTACCATCACTTACTTGGCCAGTCCCTGTTGACATATAGGTTGATTTTGCTGTTAGAAACAACACGACAGTGGGCATCCTTATATACTTACATGATCTTCCACAGTTTCTTCAGGCATAGAACTGTAGGATCAAAATCTGTTTGTTTGTTTGTTTGTTTATTTAGAGGCAGAGTCTCTCATAGCTCTGCCGTGGCCTCGTAGCTCACAGCAACCTCAAACTCCTAGGCTCAAGTGATTCTTTTGCCTCAGCCTCCCAAGTAGCTGGGACTACAGGTGCCTGTCACCATGCCTGGACATTTTTTTCTGTTTCAGTAGAGATGGGGTCTGTCTCTCGCTCAGGCTGGTCTCAAACTCTTGAACTCAAGCAATCCACCTGCCTCTGCATCTCAGAGTGCTGAGGCACTGCACCCAGCCCAAGTATGTGTATTGAAAATGCTGGAATATTTGTGATGCCACTTTGTCCTTTGAGGAAACTAAGAAAAGCGCTTCAGGGTGAAGAACAGAGGTTGAATCTGAGATCCCTCTAGGGACTAACTAGGCAGTCAGATCAGTGAGCACCCTTCCCAGTGAGTGAACTGCAAACTCACACTGCTTTAAGGCAGATGTGGAGCTCCAGACTGCTGTTGGCCATGTCGAGAATGTGGTCCTACAAATGCAGGAACTTTTGCTTTTTTAAAAGAAGCAAAAAATCCAAATTCTCATGGAAGAGGTCCAGATTTAAAAATGATAACTCACATTTAAAAGTGTGTCAGCTAAATAAAATACAGTAGAACCTATGCAAGTCATTCACCTAAGGTCTGTAACCATCTTTAGGGATATGGATGTGTTCAACATAAGGAACTAGGCTCACTGTACGTTGAGTACATGTGGTGCATATTCAGTGTATGAAAATTTGTCAACTTAGGGAGGTGGTCAGTGTAGGGAGGTGGTCAATTATGGAGGTTCTGCTATAGGTTTCTGGGTCACAGATATATAGTATTATTAGCACTACTGCTTATAACTGTTATTTTGTTCAGGATGATTGAAAATGATTTTGAAGGTAAAGGTGGGAAGTTGGCAGGAGGCTGTTTTAAGTTTGAACAAGTTCCATATCTATTATTATTGTTTCCTTTTCCACACGGGATAACATTGGTACAGATTTTAATAAAACAAAAGATTTCGGTTTCGAAAGAAAATCAAATTCTATCTCCTGAAGAATAAGGAACCCTAGATATTTTTGAACAATGCAGTTTAGAAGCTGAGCGAGGTATTAGGGGAGGCTGACTGGGGTGTTTTTCCTTGAGCAGCCACAGTACAGAAGACCTAGGAATGTTCGTATTTGGGATTCTCTGAGTAATGAAAAATAATTTCAAAACAATGTGTGTACTACTAATATTCCCCTATTGAAACTGGTTTGTTAAGGCTAAGTTTATGGTGTTCCAAGTTAGAAAAAACAAGAACAAATAATGAAACAAGGGGTAAACTTAGAGTGCAGTGTCAAAGAATATAAA